ATCCCCCCCCCCCCCCCCAAGTTTGGCTGACACGGTCCTATTCGTATAGCTTTTCCCTTTTTAATTTTGGCACTTTATTTTCGTGACTTATAATATATAATAGATAATTATAGCGATACTTTTTCAAACGGCAGTGAAACTCAATCACAAGCTGTCAATTATCTGGCATTTTTTCTTTTTTCAGTCTAACAGCCAAAAGGCCAAATGAAAAATGAAAGAGAGATATGTTTTACTGCTGAGAAATTTTAAAAATTATAAGTTAAATTATTGATACTAAAACTGGACTTAGATTACCAATTTTCATAATCAGAAACCAGAAAATTTATAACCTATTTTACAAAACAAGAAATGGAGAGATATTTTGGGGTTCTGCAAAGCCAATGTACAAAGCTCAGCGGTTTTGGGATTTATTCTAACAAAATTTTTCTTTTCAATTTTAATTTGGGAATCTTGGATTAAGTTTGCTTTGGTAAGTTGGTAATGATTTCACCCGAGAATAATTTTCTAAGGAAAAGTCTTGGTTGTACATAATTTATGTACATAGTGATATCCACGGGAGCACAACCCATTTTCTAAAGTTTTTTTTTTAATTTTTTTTATTTATTTTTATGAGGATGATCTCAATTGAGATTGTGATGGACTTTAAAATTTTTCTAAATTTAGATGTTTTCAATTGAGATTTTAATGAAATCCATTAAAATTTAGATGTTCCCAATCAAGATTTTAATTAAATTCAATGAAATTTTTTAAAACTTAGATATTTTCAATAACTAGTGAATTTATAAATTTCATTAATATAGGGATTTTAAAATATTTAAATGAATTTCAAGTAAAAAAAATACATTCAACCAAATCTTTTGAAATTTCACCATATTTGATGAGATTATGAAATTTGTAGAAATATATTCAAATCCACAAAACTCATTAGAATTCATAATCTTCTAAAGTCCATCAAAATATTAGTTGAAAACATGCCCGTAAATCTTTTGATTGATAAAAATGTCAAACTTTACCTTTAAAGATTCATCAGAATTTGACCTATATTTTTAAAATTGGCCGGAATTTTTAAATAATATCATAGGCACATTAATTGTCTTGACGACAAGAATACTCATTTTGTACCTTTATAACTTGCTAAACATTGCTCAGAATTAACCATTTCATAAATTAATTTAGCTCACATTAAATTGAGGAGTTACCTAAATGTGTCACATGGACAACATAATCTATTTGTAAGTAGATAAATGACATTATAACAATGTACTTAATTTGTTGATTATGTTTCACTTTAGTTTTGGGAATATGCATAATGAACGCCAAGCCATTGTCTTGCTTCACATATTTGAGTAACTGTGAGAAGGAAATAAACAAAGCTAATGGGTAAAGGAAATAATTTATTATGTGAAGTAAAAATTACAAGGTACAAATAATTCTTATCAAAATGTTTTGATTCACTGTCTAGTAATCTTATAATGATAGTTCATACTCTTTATTGATGTTTTGAATACATGTATCGTAAGGATTAATTAGTGATGTCCACTTGCCCAACCACCTCCACCCCCGCCAAACCCACCACCTTTACCAAAACCTCCACCAATTCCAACTCCTTTTCCGAACCCTCCTCCTACAACACCACCAAAGCCACCTCCTTTACCAATTCCGCCTCCAACACCAAAACCCTTACCAAATGCTCCACCAGAACCTCCACCAATTCCAATGCCTTTGCCAAAACCACCACCGAAGCCAGTACCTTTACCAAATCCTCCACCTCCACCACCGCCAACTCCACCACTCTTCCCAAATCCTCCACCAATTCCTCCTCCCTTGCTGAACCCACCACTTGGACTGCCTCCAAATCCACAACCTTTTCCAATGCCACCCCCAAATCCAC